ACACACACACACACATGCACACACACACACAAACACACACACACACACACGCATACAGGTCTGGGATCGGACTGGGAGAGCAAGCTGGCGACGCAGGGGCGGCCACGAAGGAAGAGAGCCCCCTTGGCCACGCTTCCCTACCCCTGCCCCCCTTCTTTTGTTGTCCTTTTTTTGTTGTTCTTTTTGTTTTTTTGCCTTTCTGCTTTTTTTGGGCCCTTTTTCCTTTTCTTCTTTTACAATTTTTTCCAAATAAGGCACTCGGACAAACCGACGGTACGATGTCACGAACTCACCCGGATTCCCGTGTATCATACCGAGCAATAAGACGGACTGCCTCCATGGTAGGTCCTCCTTAGGGACAGGGTGAGCCGAGGCTCGAACTGTGACCCTCACATAGACAACCTCGGGGAATAATGACGCAACGATACCCTACCCATCGATAGTCCTTTTTGTCATTGCCCTCCTTTTTCCTTTGGTCTTTTTCTTTTTTCTTTTTCTTCTTTTCTTCTTTTTTCTCTTTTTTCGTTTGTTTTCTTTTTTTTGTTGTCGTTGAGTTTTGGTTTTGTTTTGTTTTGTTCTACCTTTTCCTATGCAGAGTCAGACCGTCGCCGATCCCGCGACGCTTACGAGGGCGATAGCTTCCGACCGAGGTGGTCCTTCACCGCTTGAAGCAAGAGAGTAAGCTCGGTAGTTGACGATCCCGATACCAGAGCCAAGAGTCACGCAGAGGCCGGTAGACCGAGATAGAGACAAGAGGGACTCGAACAATGGATCTGACCATTGGGACAAGGTGACAACGAAAGCGGGGAATTGGAGGGATGTTTAGACCCTTTCACAGAGAATGACGAAGACCCAGAGGACGGGACATGACGTTAGCACCCTGGGACATCGACTGTGCCATGACGTGACAAGGCGAGCCACTCACCGGTTTAAATTGGGCGAAGGGCACTGACTGAGCAGATCAATCATTGCGAGGAGTGATTCTAGGCGGAGACTTCGGTGGGCTTGTCCGACCAAACCAGCGGACCTTTCACATCCAGCGGGCTGTTTTTCTCGGGTGAAATGGACTTCCTCGTGGATCTGGACCTCCGGGAGGAACCGACCGACGTCGAAGAAGTGGTRTAGCATCGACCTCCCCCACCTGCACGCCTCGATTGCAGATGTTCGCGGCCAGCATGGCGGGCCTTGAGGAGGACCGTGGGGCCTATGCAGTATCCACTTGCGCCTTCCTTGCGTATCTTKCCCTGCTCACGTGCGTCTCGCTCCTATGCTTTATCGCGTCCCTCCCTCCTCCCCTCCCGCCCAACCTTGCTCCTTGCGCGATTGATGTCTGACCCAACGCAGCTACTGCTGAGCCATTATCCTGCACACACAACCCCTTCCCAACCTCGCTGCACTTCCCCCCGCAGACACCGATCATGGACCTGACTACGCCGGACCTCCCAGCTGGCGGGCAATCGGTGGTTTCCTCGTCGCTAGGGACCAAGCGCAAGAAGCTAGATGCTGTCCTCCTCATCCTTGCTATGCTACCGAATGCCATCATCTGCRGCATGGCGGTTTGGGCTTGCCAATCGGAATTCGTGCTTCTGGCCCCAGCAAGGCGAGCCGCGTTGATGCTATACCTCACAATTGCGTATACTTCCCTGGCGCTGGCGCTGTCGGCAAGCGGGCTTGTTGCRGTTATCTCGGGCGCGTAAGCGGGTATGAGCAGAAGAGAAGGCGAGAATKGATGGCAATGCGCACACGCTCCCCTCCCACCGCTCCCCTTCCCACCCTCTGCTCGCCGGGCCTYMCTGCATGTCTSCTTACTCCCTCCCTGCCCCYGTGCCTCGCAGCATCGTTTGTGTTCCCCCTCCGTCCGATTGTCTCAGTCTTTTCCGATGACAAAGGAAAAGATCCTCCCTCCTCCCTCTGATGAAGCCGCGCGTGGCATGCGGCAGAAAGGCCTCAGGGAATTGCCACTCCCTCCTATGAATCTGCGGATTAGTCCTCCTCGCCCTAAGGAGCGGTATCGGGACTAAGGAGCACGGTGCAGGATCTTCCTTCCTCCTCTCTTCTGCCTCTACACTACCCCAACCCCCCCTTTTCTTTGCCTACCTTGTGTTCTGTTGAGCTTGGCCACCATGAGGGAGATACRCTATTGTYTCGTCACCATAAGGAGTGCATCATTGAGGTGTGGTATGGATCTCGTCATCTTCGAGGTGTAGTATGGATCTCGCTGCCATGAATGAGCTGATCTTTACGTGGTGGGGTTTGGTTCTTCCCCTTCTYGGTGTGTTTTCGTATGAGCTCGATTATATGGCAGGATTGAAGGGCTGATGGAKTGGAGGAGGTGGGGGAGTAGGGTTGTTCTTCGATAATGATTGACTTCCGGCGTGGCGTATTGCGATCTTTCTAAGCATTAGGAGGCTATAGGTATCATGCATTGTTGGGATCAATGATGGAAGTCTGATTCTTTGTTGCTAATTGGCTTCRTCTCGGTTGAGATAAAGGTTGACGCRGAACTCTGTGACCAATCTTTTTTGAGCTCAAAGGGTCGGATGCGTRTCGAATGCCTCGATTTTTCTGCGACCATGCACTGTTCCTATTTATATGGATGGATTGGACTGTCTGGTGAAAAGTGGTTGTGCTATTGAYGACACGTAGGAAGGAGTCTGATTYGATTTTTCTTATCACCATGGGTGATTTGATTGTGGATGRWGAGGTACTCGGTGTTACTGACTGACGGTTCTTGAGAAGCTCGGTTGTGCTATCATGACGATTTCGGGGTTTCGCCCCAGCGATCGCGACAGTTGATCAAACCGCCGTACATGCGAAATGAGTGTGTCTTCGCGGATTGATCTCCGGTCGKTGATTGCATGGATGCTTGGAACCGGAGGTCGTGATCGGGTRGCATGACCAGGTTGGTTGGCTATCATTTATTTTTCTTCCGTTTTCTATCCTTTCTTTTTTTACCTCCCTTCTACCTTGTGAATCGGCCCAGCACCCTACTCCCCTGGATCGTTCTTCGCGATCGACCTTTTTCGCTTCCCCTTTTCGAKTCCTTTCCCTGTTCKTTGSCCCCYGTCTGCCTTTCGTCCTCCTCCGGATTCGACCTGCCACCTTGCTCCCCCAGATCGTTCTTCWTGTCCTTTCTTTCCAAAGAACCTCGATGGACTAAGCTTTCCCTCCGTCCCTCTCTCTCTTTCCTTTTTTTACCCCCTATTTACCACTGCGATGGAATGATCTGGGTTYGCAATTCTTGACCACGCACAGTAGGAGGATCACCGGGACAAGACAGCGATGAATGGAAGACATCGACTTCATCGGAGCCATCTACGTRCGTTAAAAAATCGGGGGATGGACAACGGATGGGTACAGGACTGATCTCGTGGAACCGTACTGCCATCCAACTGATTGTGCTATTGGTAGGATAAGATATGGAATAACMCGTAGGAAAGARTCTGATTYGACAATGGGGCTCGGGGTTACTTACTGTTGGTTATTGAGAAGCTTGGGTGTACTATYATGACGATTTCGTGGTTTCGCTCCAGCAATTGCGACTGATGATCAACCACCGTGCATGCGAGATGAGCGTGTCTTCGCTGCTTGATCTTCGGTTGCTGATTGCATGGATGCTTGGAACTGTGGGTCATGATCTGGTAGCATGACTGGGTTGGTTGGCCATCATTTATTTATTTATGTTTCCTCCATTTTCAATCCTTTCCTTGATCTTTACCTCCTTTKTACCCTTTGMATCGGCCCAGCACCCTATTCCCCTGGTTCGTTCTCCGCGATCGACCTCTCCTCTTTCCTTTTCGGATCCTTTCCCTATTCCKTACACCCCCTCTACCTGTCGCCCTSCTCCGGACTCACCTTGCTCCCCCAGATCGTTMTTCTCGTCCCTTCTTTTCGAAGAACCCCAAGAGACTGAGCTTTCCCTCTCTATCTCTCTTCCTTTTTTACCCCCTTATTTATTGCTGYGGTGGAATGATCTGSGTTTGCGATTSTTGACCACGCGCCGTAGGGGAATCACCGGGGCTGGACAACAATGAGTGATTGACAGAGCCATCTACGTATGTTAATGATTCAGAGGATAAACAGCAGATGGGTACAGACTAATCGGGATTCTGAAAAAAAAGGGGTCATGGGTGAAACCATGCTGCCRCCGATGACATAAAGTGGTGAGCAGGCGGTGTGYGAGAACACAATGACGCGCCCGCCTCCTTAAAACTCTGACTTCGTGGTGATTAAGTACACAGTGCCTCACCCTCGAAGGGGGTGGAGCTCGGCGGCAATACTAGGTGGACACCTGGAGAGCAGACAGGGACCAATCGTGTCCGCTAGACGAACACCGGGGCAGCGGCTCGCGTGATGCACTYAACTATGAGKAGGACCCCTCTTCGCCACGATCAGAAGCCAGAGCCATACTTGCGATAGTACCCAAGCTAAAGGGTGTGCCGACCCTGGTGTTGGAGATCTGGCCAGACGCGGTACGTGCCTTGGCGTGCATTCGTGCACACACGCAAAACACAYACGAGTGGGATTATCCCTGCAGCGCTGCCGGTAGGTGCCCCCTCCGACCGCATCTCRAGAAAAGCTTGGACGCCGRCAAGAACCGGGATGCAGAGGAAGTGGCGGTAAGACTTCGTAACTTGTGATAATAAGGGGGTTCGAAAGTCGTGCAGTGGGGAGCGATTTTTCTCGGGCGTCTTAGAATGTCGGTGTCATGACGAATACCCGGGCTATGCCTCCGATTCCCATATCCCCTTTCCCCCTTCCCTTGTGTTTTGTGGTTGTTGGGCTGTGCAGATCGCCCCTGATGAGAACTTCCCCGGAGGATGGTGGAGTGAGGTCATAGAGAGGTTCCCTTGGCTCGAACAGTGCCCTTGGCCCAGCAAACCGGCGCAAGCCTTGATCACATGCATGAAGCCTGAGAGTATGGACGTGATCAAACTGGTATGGGATTCGGGGGCCTTCCTCAAYTTCTTCGGGATGATCGGTTTCAGTGACCTCACGAGAATGGCCATGGCCTGGGATAGGGATAGTACATCGTTTAGGACCGAGGTTGAGAAACTGGGGGAGGAACTCGAGGGTAGGAAGTTAGCGTATACGGAGGAATGCACTCTACTTTCGGGTAGGGTGGCCAGAGTCGAACAAATCTTCCTTAGGGCCTGGGGTCTAAACGACTCACACGTGAGAAATCTTCTCCCTACGGCCCCCCCACCCCCACCCCGACCACGCGCACAGCAGGATCCGACACACCTTGAGCGCGCCGCGTGCCAGGCCTTGGACATCAACGACGAAGAGATGGCTGAAATGGAACAAGCCATCGCTTCCATCTCAGCCACAGCGCAACAGACCCCGCTGAGGYGCATTGCTGYGCCAAAACCCATACACGCGGCARCATCCAGACATTTCACCGCTTTCGCCCCGTTGGCCTCCACACACTGGGTGGAGTGCACCARCACCRCTTACAACCACCKCATTTGGAAGATGGACACGTATAATCACCTAGCGCCCATCTCAGTAAAGGCATATCAATTCTTAGCTGGCTTGACTGACGCGCAGGTCACGAGGTGTAAGGCCATCGCGTTTACCGCGCAACTGAGGTACTGCGGTAAGTCAGTGTCCCCCTTCTCCCCAACTGACCTTTCGTTCCCACTAATGAGCKAYGTGGACCCAGACAAGTGTGAGCAGACGGCCCCGGTAATGTGGCATAAAGCCATAAAACAGCCGCCCGCCCTGGACCTCAGGCATCTGAGGAAGGTTTGGAGCGCGAGCATGCCGTACTTCAAATGCWGCTGTAAACGCAATGATGAAGATAGGGATTGCCCGGGCGGCCCCCTCAGGGTGGACCATGCTATCTGGTTCCTATTGGCGCACCCCGACGTCCTTTTCCCCACTATGTCTTCCACCAAGATACACACCTCCATGTTAGTACACTATCTAAGAACAAMATGGAAAGATGCGGTGATTGGTTGCATCATCTTCATGTTCATCAGAGAGATCATGACTGACTTCGTGACGAGCCTAGAGASGGACGACCAACTCAATGCCGAAAGTGTCGTCAAGGATGRGAGGATGTGGAGGCACCAGCTCCCTCCAACGGTTGGGAGGATTCTACTCCCCACGAGGATCCCGGCCAGACCCAGGAGGTTGACACCGGCAACCAGGCAAAGAGCCCAACCCGGGCTGATTCCGGGCCAGGGGAGGCTGAACTTTCCAGCCGCCAACAGAGCAGCRGGTGGTGGGGAGGCTCAGGACGTGGTTCAGAGGCGCGCGAACATGATTAATCACAGGAATCTAGCAGCAGCACAAGCGCAGCAACAACAGCGACTAAACCAGCAGGCGGGAGGGACACCGCCGCAAGCTGCATGCCTCCAACAGCGGTTGCATGAAAGAGAGGGTCCACGGCCGAAAGCCATGGAAGTTGATGGGCAGAGGCGGGAGGAGGCAGCAGGGAGCCAGCACCACCAACTTGCGCAGGTAAGGGCCAACCCGAATGGCCCGATACTGCGAACTCCTGTGGCGCTGCGACAGGACGACCTGCGATTCACGATAGTTAATAAYGGCGGTGCGGGACCCAACGGTCAGTCCCCCATCCCGACCACCCCRTTGATGGCGCAAGTGGGGCTGSTGCTCGCACCCTCCAAAAGCAAGAGGAGGAGATCGCCTGACGATGGTTCTGGCTTTGACTCAGAACACTCACACTACGGGAGGCGGCTTCGCCCGAGATTATCAGGCAGCAGCAGCTCTGCTRTCAATGCACCGTAAATAAGGCGCGACGTGCGAAGTCCGGGTTCTCGCCCCTGGCCCCCTKCCTGAGTTGATTTTTCGTTTTTTCCCCCCCTTTTTTCTTTTTCTTTTTCTTTTTCTTTACTTTTTCCTTTTCCTTTTTTCTCCTTTTTTCCCCTTTTTTTCTTCTTTCTCTTTTTCTTCTTCCTCTTTTCTTTCTTCTCCTTTTTCTCTCCCAAGTTTTTCTCCTTCCGTTTTTTTGGTTGATTGTTTTCCTCGAGGGCGAACTTTATGGGCGATAACCGTCTGGTTGTGCATGTCAGCAGGATCCCAGATGCAACAAGGATACGGGAGTCAGGGCGAAGATGGTCGTGCAACCCACCGGGAGACGGATCTGGTGTAGAAAGAGAACAAGCGACCTAGCCTTCCTGCACATGAAATATACCAGCAGGGCGATGGAGGCTTTCTAAGTTAGAACTGTAGTACTCAACGCGTTGAGGAGATTAGTGGGAGAAGGGGTGGAGGCGTGGTTGGAGAAAGTAGTGTTTGGGTGGACTTATGAGAAGCCGGTGGCGGTGTATGTCTGCAAGCCAAGGGAGGTCTTTAAGGACTTTGACCTCGAGCACTGGACTGACCACTACAATCCCGCGAAATGTCACTGCGGTGCAGCCAGGTACTTGGGCTTCCATTCGGAGAAAACACGTGAGCTAATACCGGGCGCCCAGCACACGCATGTACTGACCATGGACGCTGGCATCACGAGCAACTGCAGGCTGCGTGCGATGATCAAGGCGGGGCTGAATCACATACCGCTCAGAGCTTTTGACATCGATGAGGCTCTCTTCGAGCTCAGCGGGCTCCTKGACAGACTCATCATGGTATCCTACGAAATTACCAATATGGGCGAGTATAAAAAATGGAGGTTCAAGAAGCTGGTACTAGACAGAGCAAGGGCCAAAATGGACGGGTACATTAGCAGACACAGGTTCATCTCAGCAGAACCAATAAGTCAGACGAGCACGAAGCGGGAGATTGAATTCCTCACTGAGAGGTTCCTGGTAGTCCCCACTSACAAATCTGCTTACACTCCCTCTTTCGTCTGCACCAACTTCATTCGTGTGCTAGCACTGAGCAGACTGCAGGGTGAAGATTTCATCCTGCAGCAGGAGGACCCTTAGCAACTCATCCCTCACATTAAAGAAGAACTGACCGATCTTCYGTCGCTACCTGTGCCGAGGGATGCGCTGCCTTACCTGATGGCAGTATACAAAGCGCACAAACAGTCCTTCCGTTGGATCACGAACACTGCAGACACTATTGTCTCTCCCATGGCTGACCTCTGTGCTTGCCTGCTACGTTTTCTCACCCCATCTGTTCARTCGTACTGTTCTGAGGTGAGCAAGACGATGGAAGCTGAGTACGACGTCARRCCCAATCTTTGGTGGCCCATCTCATCGATAGGGGAGTTTGCCGCCAACTTGCCTCAATCGATCCACATCGTATATACTGCYGACATCACGAGGTGCTTCGAGACCATCCCTACGGATGATTCGGAGCACGGCCTGCTAACARCGATTAAGTTTTTTGTTGAGATTGCCATAAGCCATCGGAGTGACARGAGTTCGAGGGATATTATAAAGGTAAGGGTCACTACAGGAGGTAAGATGTACCCTTCCTGGGCGGATGCTCGTTTGACCAACACCGGCGAGGAATTGTACWTCGAYGAATCTGAGGTCAATAATGTGTCGCAATGGTGCCTTGAGCACAATCTGGTCCARACTAGCACTTGTGTATGGAAGCAGGTCCGAGGGATTCCTTTGGGATTAGCATGCTCCCCCATATGGTGTGATATTTACTTTTTGAAGTATGAATATCACGCCATGATGAGGCTGCTGGCCACTGGCAACAAGCACAGGGTTCCGGAGTTTGACAGCACTTACAGGTATGTTGATGACTTATGCTCATTGAACAACCACTCTATCCRGGACTTCTTTCGTGATGAGTGTGAGYAGAACACGGATCCGATCTGGATCTATCCGAAAGAGTTCATAGAAATGAAGGAAACAACCRAAGTCGTGAACGAGGAACATCAAGGCATCGTAGCGAACTTCCTCAACATGACCATCTCGGTCTCGTCCACCAATGGGGGATGCTTCTCAACCAMGAAGCACGACAAGAGGAAAGGGCTCAATTTCCCCCCCGTCAGATTCATGAGACTGAACTCTAACCGCAGTATAGCTMAGTCGCTGCAGATCATCACGGCCYAGGTAGTGTTAATACTCATCCTGTGCACTGAYYCGAGGGAGGCTGCCAGAGAAATCAATGAGGTGGTCAAGGCTCTCTTTGATAATGGCTTTGACACTAGCAGGTGCTGGTCAGTTGTGAARAGATTGTTCACTAACCCGTATCACTACCAGACCTGCAGGGTCAATCGTGAACTGGTCGTACAGTATCTGAAAGAGGATTATCAGGTGGAATGATTATTGACCATGCGTCTGTGGTTGTGATGAGCGTGTGTGTGGTCCCGGGGGGTATCTGACTGCAAGGCCAGTAGCCCCCCGTGGCCACTGGCCTTGCCTTAGTCCTTCCCAGAGGGTCAGGGGCAGGTCACACACACACACACACACACACACACACACACGCGCGCATACAGGTTAGGGATCGGACTGGGAGAGCAAGCCGGCGACGCAGGGGCGGCCACGAAGGAAGAGAGCCCCCTTGGCCACGCTTCCCTACCCCTGCCCCCCTTCTTTTGTTGTCCTTTTTTTGTTGTTCTTTTTGTTTTTTTGCCTTTCTGCTTTTTTTTGGCYCTTTTTCCTTTTCTTCTTTTACAAATTTTTCCAAATAASGCACTCGGRCAAACCGACGGTACGATGTCACGAACCCACCYGGATTCCCGTGTRTCATACCGAACAATAAGAMGGACTTCCCCCGTGGTAGGTCCTCCTTAGGGACARAGCGAGCCGAGGCTCGAACTGTGACCCTCACATTGACAACCTCGGGGAATAATGACGCAACGATACCCTACCCATCGATAGTCCTTTTTGTCGTTGCCCTCCTTTTTCCTTTGGTCTTTTTCTTTTTTCTTTTTCTTCTTTTCTCCTTTTTTCTCTTTTTTCGTTTGTTTTCTTTTTTTTGTTGTCGTTGTGTTTTGGTTTTGTTTTGTTTTGTTCTACCTTTTCCTATGCAGAGTCAGACCGT